TCTCACCATTCTCTTTTATATATACTGTAGGGTTATTGTAGTTATCTTTGATGTAGTTAAGTACTTTGCGTAAACCTTCTGGTACTGAATGGAGTATACCTCGATCCTCCTGTGCGGCACAAAAAAAACCTATCAATATTCTTATAATCTTTTGAAAATTAAAATCAATTCTTATTGTTATACTAGTAGTTAAAAATTTACTTACCCCTGGTCCAATTTGGTGGTTACTGTGATTGGTAACTGTTAAAAAACATAGACGACACAAAAACCAGTTTAGGAAATTATTCACTAGAAAATATATACATGGATATTAAAAATTAACATTCTTACCTCTCCACTCTAGCTGTTGATCAGACTTGAATCGAGGTCGTGCAGGGTCCACGTGAGGAAGATGAGCAATGTAGCGACCAGTATAATAGTTTACTCCAATGAAATCCGATGAATTTTTTAGCATTTTTGATTGTTCTGCGGTGAAAGAAGGTAATCTATTTCCGAGTTGTTTCTTCAATATTTCTGGATAATCCCCGTGAATAACTGGATCTAAATGCCTAATACACATATTGAAAATAAAAAAAAGGATAAATATATATCTTATGATTACAGACAATACATTAATCTTGCATTTTTCTAGAGTTTATAAGCAACTTACCAATCTAGTTCCATGGCTAGAGCTCGTTTAACAGCTTCGTTATCGGCAAGAGAAGTAGAGTCATAAGGTTCAAACCACAACGGCGACAACACTATCCCAATCTGACCATCTTGCGAAGTCTGTCATAGATCATTCTTGATTAGTTAAAAAAATCAAAACTGAAGAAAAATAATCAAAATGTACATTATTTAGATTAGAGCTTATAATTTATATGCACCTTGTTACATTTTCGGAACTCTTGAACAGCTGCGGCATGAGCAAGAAGAAGGTGGTGTGATGCAATATAAGGCTCAATAGCCGAATCGCCTGCTTGACACTGACTATTCACCCATTTCGAGCAACGTCCAACCGCTTTGTTCCCGGTATCGTAGCCCGCAACACTTATGATGTAAGGCTCGTTTATAGTAGTCCACATCTTAACTTTGTCTCCAAATTCTTCAAAACACACTCTTGAAAAATCTTGAAAATCTTCTCTGTAAAAGAGAATAACAATAATAATTAAGTACTAATATCTTTGTGTGCATATCATAAAAATAAGAGATAGTAGTTAATTGGATGTCTTTGAATACTTTGTTAAGTTCAACTTACACTATTCGAGGGCTTAAGAAACCACCATACTCATCCTCTAGAGCTTGAGGATGGTCCCAATGATAGAGAGACACCGAAGGTTGAATGCCTGCACATATACATGTTTGTTCAAAACGTATATATAGTATAGTTATTGTTCATTAGCGGGTTGGTTTAATTGATTAGTCAGCTAACCATTAGCAATAAGCTCGTCGATTAAAGCATTGTAGAATCGTACACCTTCTTTGTTTACTCCATCCTTTACCTTCCCACCTATAAAGTAATACCAAAGAGTAAGAAAATCCACCAAAATATTAGAATAACTATCAATTGTAACTAAAAACTTATAGTAAAAATAATGTAGATTTACTTACTCGGTATCAATCTAGCCCACGAAATCGAAAATCTGAAAGCGTCCATATTTAGCTCTTTCATCAACTTGATGTCGTCCTGGTTTATATTTTTTTGTTCATTTAGATAATTAGGAAAATTAGATAATAGGTCCAAAAATAACATTCAGAAATCGACCGTAAATAACAAAATAAAATTAAAATAATAATAACAAAGAAACAATATCGTTTGGCATCCGAGATTGTCGTACCTTATAGCGATGGTAAAAGTCGACCGCTACATCTGCATTCTGCATATTGGTTCTTTCTGCATTTGAAATTTGTATATATCAGTCATTAAATAATTTATAGTAGTAATTTTAAAAACACTGTAACAAATATATATAAATAATAGAGACCTGGAAAAGTGTGGCTGAAGTAATCCCATATACTTGGCGATTTTCCACCTTCACTTGTTGCACCTTCGTACTACATAATGGGCAACTAGACCAGCTTAGACACAATTGGAGCAAAAAATAGCCTAGTTGACATTTGTATGTATAGTATTCATTCTGAGTAGTGACATTCAAAAAGGAGAAGAATAAAATTAAGGTCGTCATCTTAATTGCGACAAGTTATCGCTTTAAATCTCATTCTCTAGCATATTTAAATCCCACATCAAAGGGAATAATACGTACGTACGGATCTTCGATTTCGCATCATTTGTCAGCGTCACGCAACTATACTTATGTTAAAAAAAATTAATCGAAAATTTTGGAAAAAGTTTATGTTACCAAGTGAAATATTACCTGAGCAGCCGATGCAGCAGTTCCAAAAACAAAATTATTGGGAAAGCTACGACGATTGAGTACTCGAGATTCAGAAGGAAGAGAATTGATCTTCTTTGACAACCATGAGATTATCAAAAGGAGGATGAAGAAATGCACCTTCATTTTCTTTTTGTCTTTTGTATTTTGAAGTGATTGGGATTTGTAGATGATGCAAACTAAGCCGTTTCTCTTCTTATATATATAGAGAGAGCTAACTAAGTCCGGTGGTGTTGGTCTACGTGGAAAGGTATATCCTTACTCCTTACAGTCATAAATCACAATATTATGAATTATTAACATAAAAGTGACTTAATTAGGTTTAAATAATGATTTACCTATAACTTCCGCCAATAGGAAAATTATGGTAATTAAATAATATAAGAGAATTTGATTACGGTTTCTTGTTGCTTTTAATTACCCCTAATTGGACCGTTTTCTTAGCTTCTGTTCATTTTTCATATTTGAATGTGGTCGGGAACACTGCTTATATTCAAGATATGCATGTGTGCCCTATGCATGTACGTTTGTGTTTGGACAAGTGGAGACTGAATGTGGTCTTAAAATCGACTATGTTCAGTTGTCCTGCCCAAATCTGTCTTGCATGTGTAAATAAACACTCTGTCTGGAACGCTTATAACTTTCACGTTCAAAAAGCTGACGTTTCCTCTTTACGGACTTTGATGCAACCCTGACCGTTGATGAATATTCATTAAATTTCAAACCCCTTTCTGTCGATTTTATTTTAATTTTTGGCATTATTTATTCCAAAGGAATTGGAGTTTTTTTTTTAATAAAGGCCAAATGAATTGGAGTTGTGATGACTGAAATTTAAAATAACCTCTCAATTTTTTCGAGTACTTCTGAAATTCATCTCCGAAATTTTGAATTACTTATTAAACAACTCCAATCCAATTCCACAAAAGTTCGAAAACAGAAAAAAATGAGATTATTCATGGTAAAATGCAAATATAAGACAATGTGAATTATCTTACATTTGGATATTCAATTATTGTTCCTTTTATTTATTGGTCGATGAGCATGGAGCATTGCACCTTAATTTTTAGAAATCTGATATTCTTGTTTAAAGCTTAATGTTTTGAAATTTTTTATTGCCGTTTAAATTTGAAAATGTGAATTTATATTTGCATTTGGACGTGTGCGAATCTGTATGGACATGGTCGCAATTATGTCTCTATTCATAAGTTCGTAGAATCGACCACAAGTGAACCTGTACAGTGTACACAATTTATTAAAAAATATATATTTCCTTTTTAAGTTACCATTGTCAAAATCGGGAAACTGTCACCTATTATCATTAGGCCCAGCTCTGAAACAGGATTTGGCTAATGGTTCAAATAATATAAAGTTAAACTTATGTAATGTCATGTGAAGCAATGCATTTCCCTGACCCATTTTTTTCTTTCTCTAGATCCAGAAACAGCTTTTAGTAATAATTAATAATTAATCATATGCGAAAGCGTAAAACCATTTTCTACATAGTCGTAATTTGAACGCAGGATCTATTTTTCTACCTAAAACATCAATCAATTTGATAAGTTGAACTACTGGTTTTGAAACACTCATCAAATTGTGTTTTGACAGTTAAAAGTATTGATTTGGATCAGACCATATGGTCGCATTTACTGACTTCTTTGTTAAATTGAAAATTTTCACATTAATTTGCTCAGTAAAATGGTGGACTGGTGGTTGTTTGTTCCTATTCTATTTCTATGCATAGAAGAATAGTTGAGACTTGAATTCTCATGCTTTCTTCTTTAGTCAAGAGACGTTAAGGAAAAGTTTATTAGTTAAATCGGATATAATTCATTTTTCCAATAAAGATCGCATTGAATATTAGCAATAACATTAATGATTAGTCTTTCGGGAAAGAAGTATTAGGAGTGACCGTATCTTTGTCGGCACAAAGTTAGTCTAAAACAGTCCGAGTGAATATATTGCGAATACATGACATTATATATACATGACACTCTCATATCTCCACATTTTGTACACCTTAGAATCGAACCCGTATCTTGATTCATATTCATTGGATATTCTATTTGAATGTGTAGAAAGAATATTCCCACATCGAAGCGAATAATTTTTACATACACGTGCTATATAAGTACTCGTGGGACCAGTCAGATTTTCCAAATAATTCAACTCATAAAATTATCGAAAGCGGGATGAAAGAGTGCACATTCTGCAACTTTACATATTTTTTTGTTGTCAGAATTATTATTACCTAGAATTTGTAGATGTTATCGTTTTTTGCAAGTTCTGTATGGTTTATTCGGCCGGGCTTGGGCCTAATTTTAATCGTTGTTGTTTTTTATTGGGTAAAGCCTATTAAACTCTAGCCTTGACTAGGCTTGTAAAATTTTTTCTTTCTTCTGCATTTAAATATGAAGGCCCGTTCTCAAAAAAAAAAAGTTCTGTATTTATTATTTTGTTTATAGAGTTTGAAAATTAAATTGGTAGAGAAAGATGAAAATATTACATGTCCAGCCCAGCCCAGCTCAGCCCAGACTATTATTTTAGTAAGTAAGCCCAGATTACTAAATAAAAACACGGGGATTTAACCACGAGCTTACCAAATCGAACCGGATTTTCTGTAACGAACTCTGTTTGAGACTTAGTTTTCTTAATAACGGGGATATTAATAAAACGGAATAGTAATACTTTCTCAGAGTAACGGAGATATTAATAAAACGGAATGATAAAGTTTTCATCAATTGCTTTTGTTTGGATTCAACAACTGTTTGAACCACATAGCCGATTTCTTCGGGTATCTCTTACATCCATCGTTGAAATCTACGTAAACCAGGCCGAACCGAACCGTGTATCCCATTGACCATTCGAAGTTGTCTAACAACGACCACGCGAAAAAACCCTTCACATTGGCTCCAACCCTATATTGTCATTTAACAATAGCATTTGCAACACAGTTACATAAATGTATTAATTATATTTGTTAAGCCATTACTGGGGTTCTTAACATTAAAGAAAGAAAAAAAATGCTTACGAGATTGCGTCTTTAACCATCTCGAGATGTCGAGCGTAGTAATCGATTCTATCTCCGTCTTTAAGGAAGATTTTACCGGTACTAGCTTCATCTCTCCCTACAAAGAATGATTGTAATCTATCTTTAGAAAACTAGAAAAATCATCATCAAATATATGTTCATGCATGATATATATATCCGACAGTTGTGAAATTACCGTTTTCGGTTATGTACATGACAGGGTCTTTGAACTTGTATTTTGCATAAAGGACAAGATCACGAATACCCTTTGGATATATTAAAAGCCAATCCGACGCAGCCTAAAAGATTAAAAAAAAAGATTGATTAATTTCATAACTATATTAGTAATAACCGCTGCAAATCAATGCTTTGTGAGATTAAGTCTAGACAAGTACCTTTGGACCAATGGGAACTCCTTCTCTTTCACCTGGTATGAATACAAACATAGTTTTTTGGATTCGTAACTTTTCGAACAATTTTTTTAAGTTTTAATATGTTAAAAGAAAACTTGGATGATGTGAAAACGGACCTGTGACGCTGGCACAAGGATCAGAGAACATTGTAACATCTTTGGTGGAGCAAGGGACATCCTTTGCGTAAGAGGAAGAGTAATAATTGATGCCGATGAAATCATATGAGCCCTTAAGCATCTTAGATTGTTGTGCAGTGAATGTAGGCAAGCGACCTCCTTTTACGTTGTTAACCATGTCGACTGGGTATTTACCCGTCACAAGTGGCTCCATGAAGTAGTCAAATGTGAAGGCCATGGCTCGTGCCGCGGCTAACCTATCTTCGGCCGATTCTGTATAGGGCAAGTTCCATCCCGCGTTCAACGCGATACCAACTTGACCTTTTTGAGATGCCTGTTGAGCGACATTCAAGAACAAGGCTTGTCATAATCCGCACAGAAATAAAACTTACAAGGGTTAGATGATTCGTAATACGGTTTATTTCCCGCGTAAGATAGCTATTAAAATGGTCGGTTTTTAGTAACTTGACGATCAAGAAACAGAGTGGAATAATGGATTATTTACTTGCCTGGTATTTTTCTCTGTATACTTTGACGGCGGCTCCGTGAGAAAGTATGAGGTTGTGACCGACGATATAAGGCTCGGTGCCTCCATCTCCAGCGGTGCAATTAGGGTTTGTGAATTTGGAGCATCTTCCTGGAGCCATTACACCGGCAACATATCCTTGTTGCACCACTGTCAATGGCTCGTTCAATGTCATCCAATGTTTCACTCTATCTCCAAAATTCTTGAAACAAATATCGGCATAATCGCGGAAATCGTTCCTATTTCATCAAAAAAACAAAAATCAGTAAAATCATTGAATTTTGTTGTTAGTATATGATCGGTCGTTGACCAAAACAAAAAAAGTATATGATCGGTCATGTGAAATGTAATGGCCAATAGAAGAAACCCTTTTTAATAAAATTACAGAATTATTTAAAAAAAAAAGATTTTGAGGACTTACACAATCTCTGCGCCACGGAATCCACCGTAAGCATCTTCAAGGCCTTGTGGTGTATCCCAATGGAAAATGGTAGCAAAAGGCTTAATTCCTATATACAGTAACATAACATTTACATTATTGCTTGCGTTGCTTTATCTATAAAGACGGGTGGTACAAATATGATTAGTCTTTTCAGTAAAAAAAAAATATATATATATATATAATTAGTCGCTATCTCTTTTACATTATTTTCTTAAAGTCAGAAAAATTCCTTGCAAAGTGCCATAACGAATTCAATGACTAAAATGTAATGTTTCCACATCCGTAGGTAAACTCAAACCATACAAATTATTGTGTGGCAGAAATATTATTTTGAAGTTTTTAATTTAAGGGGAAAAAAATGCATGAGCATAAGAATTAAGAAGTCAGGAGAAGAAAATCCAAGTACAGTGTAACTACAATACTGTGAAATGAAGTTGTAATCAAATACTATATCACAATCAAAAAGTAAGAATTTAATGTATTTATGAATTATTTAAAGTAAGATGAAACAGAGTGCGTTACTTAGAGCATCTCTGTCAAATTGGGTTTTTGTCTTATACCTTTGGACAGAAGCTCATTGATCAAGTTGTTGTAATAGTCAATACCAGCCTGGTTGATTCCTCCTTTTAGATTCCCACCTAAAGAAGACACGACCCATTAAAGTAATTGGCATTGAAAAGTAATCAAATCTCATGTGAACTTACGAGGCAATATTCTTGACCACGAGATAGAGAATCTGTAAGCATTGAACCCAATTTGATGCAATAAAGCCACATCTTCCTGTAATACAAGGTTTTTAATAAATGGTTATTTCTGATTTTGTATGACAGTGAAAAGTTAGAACAACAATTTATATTTCACATATTTAATCCGAAATAAGATAATTACCTTGTAAAGATGGTAAGAGTTATCCGCAACAGACCCATTGTTACCATCCTTTATATTCCCTGGGAAATTAAAATTAATAAAAAAATATTAATTACGTTTATCAACTATATGGATGAAGAATCAAAAACAGAGTAGTTAACCTTATTTGTTTCATGGATTATTCACATTCTGATCCATTTTTTTCAAAGCCCATGAATCATCAACCAATCTTTAATAAGAACAGATTCACCCACATATATACTTAATTCACGGATCTTGAGTCTACATTATTCTTTAGATCCTAAAAACTGTGAGATCTAAATTAAAACAAAACCTGGGTATTTTTCAGAGTAGGTATCCCAGATACTTGGTCCTCTACCATCTTCATGAGCAGCTCCTTCGACCTGAGCAGTGTTAAGCAAAATCCCATTAATTCTCTAATCTGTGGTCGAATTTATTTTAAGAAATGAGTAATAATAATTACAAGAAACCAAAAAAGAAAAGAAAAAGAAATACCTGGTAAGCAGAGGTTGCAGACCCAAAAATGAAATCTTTAGGAAAATCACTTCTTTTTAATATGGGTGTGGAAGTGTTGCTCTTGGCTAGAACTTCATTAGAGGCCAAGACAATGAGCAGTAGTAAAGAAAGGTATTCTCCTCTCATTCTTTATTTTTCTTTTGATTGTCAAATTTTTCTTTTCAGAAGATGAATCATGGCCTCATGGTAAGGGGGTGTTATATAGGAAAGAGAAATGTTTTTGAATTGGTTTTTTTATTTCTATAAATAGAGAAACTTGAAAATGATAATCTGAGAGAGAGTGTGACAACTTTTTTTTTTTTTTTGTTTCCCTTGGAAAAAAAATTGCTAGACATTAGTTGAAAAAAAAAACATTCTTTAATCTACATCAAATTTTGGTTTTAACCGGCGTCGATTACCTAAAAGTTTATCTAAAACTGAGTCATTATTAAACAAAATTATATTGATAAAGCAATGCATCATCATTGCACGTCTTTCAGATATTGACGGGATGTGCTAATTTCTGATGGAAAACGTGAAGACGTGTGAGAATTGGGAAGTCTATTTCCGTCTTTTTGTGCTAAATCCTCTTTTGAATAAAAAATATTAACAAGCTTCTTGTAACGGCTATTTATTTCAAATTTTGTTGAGTTACTTTTGAGTTTCTTCCTATAAACGTTGTTACGAATTTTTTTTGAAATAGGATAATGTGTACTTTTTTATTATGTAAAACGTACTTTTCACAGGTTGGTGTAGTCTGGAACGCGTTGGGAATAGACATGTCGGTCAAAATATTACTATCAATTAAGTCTCTCTCTCTCTCATTTTCCATGTGACAAAAGAAGTCAATGTTTTGAATATAAGGGATCTTTTTCATTGTGAAATCTTGATTATCTTTTTTTCTTTCTTTCAAAAAAATTATTATCGAAGGAAAATTTACAAAGTATCGAAACTCTTATAGGAAAAAACAGTCATGTATAAGTAAGATTATTGATTTATCAAAATTATGGGTCCTTTCAACCAATAAATAAATGTCTCTCGAATATAATCTTAGCCCAATTCTGTTTGCACTCATTTAGAAAACACGTCAAACGGCCCAGTCCAATATGTATCAAAATAATTGTTGGGCTGTTGAATGTCGGTTTCGTACCTTTAGGGTTTTTTCCTGAAGACTTCAACAGCTTCGGCGCGAGCCAAGAGTAGATTGTGACTAACAGTGTAAACCTCGAGCCTAAATTCACCGGCCGAAACTGTTTCGTTCATGTATATTATAAAATTGGAATGTTTTGATATACACACGAGAGGGGATGAATAGAGAAAAGATAGCGAGGAACTGGTGATGTCTTATTCATTACTAAAAGATGGATACAATATAGTGGAAATAAGTAAAAGTAGAACATGAGCTTATTGGGAACATCACATAATAGTTCATAACATAGTGGGATATTGATAAAACGGAATGATACGGTTTTCATCAGTTGCCATTCTTTAATGATACGGTTTTCATCAGTTGCCATACTTTGGTTTGAGCCACGATTTGAACCACTTAGCCGAATCCTTCAGGTATCTCTTACATCCATCGTTGAAATCTACGAAAACCAGCCCGAATCGGACCGCGTATCCCACTTCCCATTCGAAGTTGTCCACCAACGACCACGCGAAATAACCCTTTACATGGGCTCCAAGCCTATATTGTGGTTTAACAAAAGTGTTTGCAACACAGTTAAATGAATTTTACTTATGTGTCACGTATATATAAAATTAATAATCTTTGTTACTTATAATGTGGGAATTAGGATTCTTAACATCAATGATATATATAAAAAAAATGCTTACGCGATCGCTTCTCTAACCATCCAGAGATGATGTTTGTAGTATTCGATTCTTTCTTCGTCATGAAGTCTGATTTCACCGTGATTAAATTCATCTCTCCCTACAAGAGAATGTCGTTATAAATTATTAGGAAACTAGAAGAATCATCGTCGAATATTCATACATATATATATCAGCAATTAAAGCTAATGGACTTGTGAATTACCGTTTTCGGTTATGTACATAATAGGGTCTTTGAACTTGTATTTTACATAAAGGATAAGCTCACGAATTCCCTGTGGATGTATGTAAAGCCAGTCCGACGCAGCCTAAACGATAAAAAGATCATCTAATAAAGTGATTAACTATATTAATAACAGCTACAAAGCTTTGTAAGATTAGTATAGACAATTACCGTTGGAAGGGAAACTCCTTTTCTTACACCTGATATGAATACAAACAAGATTTTTGGATTCGTAACTTTTCCATCAATTTTTAAGTTTATATTGTTTTTTTAAAAAAACTTGGATGATGCGAAAACGGACCTGTAAGATTGGCACAAGGATCAGTGAAGAGTGTAACGTCTTTGTTGGTGCAAGGGACATCCTTTGTGTAAATGGAAAAGTAATAATTGACACCAACGAAATCGTATGAGCCTATAAGCATCTTAGATTGTTCTGGAGTGAATGTAGGCAAGCGACCCCCTTTTACGTGTTTGACCATGTCGCGTGGGTATTGACCCGTCACAAGTGGCTCCATGAAGTAGTCAAATGAGAAGGCCATGGCTCGTGCCACGGCTAGCTTATCTGCGGCCGTTTCTTCATAGGGCATGTGCCAACCGGAAACTATAGCAGTACCAATTTGACCTTTTTGAATTGCCTGTGGAACGACATTCAAGAGCAGGTTTGTCATAATCCACACAGAAATAAACATGCAAAGGTTCCATATGATTCGTAATACGGTTTATTTCCCGCGCAAGATGGTTATTTTAAATGGTGGGTTTTTAGTAACTTGACAATCAAGAAACCGAGCGGGATCCGGATTTTTTTACTCGCCTGGTATTTTTCTCTGTATACTTTGACGGCGGCTCCGTGAGAAAGTAGGAGGTTGTGACCGACGATATAAGGCTCGATGCCTCCATCTCCAGCGGTGCATTGAGGGTTTGTGAAGTTGGAGCATCTTCCTGGAGCGTGTACACCATTCATGTACCCTTGCCGCACCACTGTCAGTTGCTCGTTCAGTGTCATCCAGTGCTTCACTCTGTCTCCGAAATGCTTAAAGCATAAATCGGCATAGTCGCGGAAATCGTTCCTATTTGATCAGAAAACAATATCTAGTCAAATCAGTGAATTTTGTTTTAGTACATAATCGGTCATGTGAAATGTAATGGGCCACTCGAACCCTTTTTTTTTATGATATAACAAATTAAAAAAAAAAAAGTTACAGATTTGGAGGACTTACACAATCCTTTCGTCACGGAATCCGCCGTAAGCATCTTCGAGGCCTTGTGGTGTGTCCCAATGGAAAATGGTGGCAAAAGGTTGAATTCCTAAAGACAAGAGTAGCACAACATTTATATTATAACTAAAAAGCATATCCGTATTTGAAGGGTGGTAGAAATATGATTAGACGCTATCTCCCTAACATTATTTTCTTAAAGTCATAAGATTCCTTTCAAAGTGTTATAAGTAATTCAATGACTAAGATGAATAGATTCCACATCGTACGTAGTAAATTCAAATTGTTTGGGTGGCTGCCAAATTTGATTTTATCGGTTTTGTCTTATAAGTTATAATTATACCTTTGGACAGAAGCTCATTGATCAACTTGTTATAATAGTCAATACCAGCCTGGTTGATTCCTCCTTTTAGATCCCCACCTAAAGAAGACACAAATCATTAAAGTAATTGGCACCGAAAAGTAATAAAATCTCATGTGAACTTACGAGGTAATATTCTTGACCACGAGATAGAGAATCTGTAAGCACTGAACCCCATTTCATGCAATAAAGCCACATCTTCCTGTAATACAAGGTTTTTAGTAAATGATATAATAGAAGATTGTGGCTGATTTTTATGCCTATGAAAATCAAAACAAACAATTTATGATTTACATATTTAATCCGAAAAAGACAATTACCTTGTAAAGATGGTAAGAGTCAGCTGCAACAGACCCATTGCTACCATCCCTTATCCTCTCTGGAAAATTAAAATTAATCTATCAACTATAGTACCATTGAGGTTCAAAATATAAAAAAACCTTTAAAGAATCAAAAACAGTAGTTAACCTGGGTATTATTCTTTACATCCTAAAAACTGCGATATATAAATTAAAATCAAACCTGGGTATTTTTCAGAGAAGGTATCCCAAATACTTGGTCCTCTACCATCTTTATGAGCAGCTCCTTCGATCTGAGAAGTGTTACACAAATCCCCATAAATTCTCTAATCAGTTGAATGAGTTACTTTAAGAAATGTATAATAATAATTACAAGAAACCAAAAAAAAAACCTGGTAAGCAGAGGTTGCACATCCAAAAATGAAATCTTTTGGAAAAATATTTCTGCTTATTATAGGTGTTGGAGTCTTGCCCTTCGCAAGAACTTCATTAGAGGCGGCCAAGACAATGAGCAGCACTAGTGAAGAAAGATATTTCCCTCTCATTCTCTAGTTTCTTTTGATTGTTAAATTTTTCTTTTTGCACTGATGATGTGGTTCTATACCAGTTATGAGGTTCTATATATAGAGAAATTTGAGAAAGGTATTTTGATAGAGAGAGAAAATTTATGTAACGTTAACTAAGTACTTGATAAGGTTACTAGATAGGGTATAGAGAGAGATAGGGAGAAAGAAAACCTAACAGAGAATGAGAATCTAATAATTGATAGAGAGAATCTCATGTGTGGTAAAGAGAGGAAAAAAGATAACTTTATTTAGTACTTTGTAAAGTTACTTGATAAAAGAGATAGAGAAAAAGATAATCTAAAAACTATAAATTTAACTAATGTTATCTATAATAAAAAAACTGCATAAACTACAAATAATGTTTAAAATTCTGATATTTTATTAATTAATAAAGTTATTAATTTGAATAAAAATTAAGTTCGTTCTAGAATAAGTAATGTCTCTCTATCGTTTTTAAGATGATCAAATAGGCGACTTTTAATAACCACTGCTCAAACAATCCTAATGGCAAGGGTTTTGTTACCGATCATAATCCAGTGATTCAGATACTGTTTTTATAATCAGAATCACGTTCTGCATGCATGGCGTTGTTCACGCGGTATTTCAATCTCATTTATTGTACTTTTTGAATGATTTTTATTGGTTACTGAACCGATTTTTCCAACCATTCTTTTTTTTTTGACAAAGCTAGACGACAATTTTCTCACAGTTTCTTTCTACTCTCCACTATGCAGACAACTCCGGCGTGGGTTTCTTCCCATTTCACGATGACGCTTCATCTCCATCCAGATCGTGGAAAGAAGATTATATGTATATATATATGCCATGATTTTTGATTTTTCAGATACGATCATGCCATGCACGTGATTATCTGTATATATGCCATGCACACAAAAAAAAAAAAAATGTATATATGCCATGAGACGATTTTGTCTCATCGCCATCTTATACAAAATTCCATTTTTTCCTTATTCTCAAAGATTTGTCGGATTTTTTTAAAAAAAGGAATGGCGGAAAATCTTCAGTTGATGATGCCAATAGATCTTTGTGCGCTAGATCTCACGGAGGAATTGATGCAGATAATTATTATCTTTGGTCTCTGGTATTTTGCTACGTATCAAATGAGAATTTCTTAGATTTCAATTATTTCCACCATTTGGTTTGGACATGTAATTCAAGTATTCGATCCTGTCATCATTGGATTTTGGGAAGATAATGAGAGCATGCCGTTTGAAGGAATAAAATTAGAGTTATAGAAATCGATTACAACAATGATGACATCTCGTGCGGGAGTACTGTTTGGTTTGGATTGCGTTTTGCGATGGAATCAATAGATCGTAATCGAAGATCTTATAAGAGATTATTGGCATTCAATCACAAATGATGATAGCCAATCAAGAAGATCATATTAGAAAGAGAATACTGTTGTTAATAATCTACGTAATATGATCCATAGCTTAGCTTATCGCGTTGACGAGAAAGAAAAGAGAACGAATATTTTAATCAATGTTGGATGAGTTCTAAAAGAACTAAATATAATATTCAATACTACTATTTTTCGAATCTAAAGTTAACAACTGGATCAAAATTAGATATCAGACTATTTAATTTTTCTGTCAATATGAATATTTAAAACTCGAATGTCTTTAAAATATATAAAAAATCCAGATTATATTTTATGATATTGACTTTTGATAGAAATAATTTTTTTATTATAAATTATACATTTTTGATAAATTTTATTTTATAAATCACAGAAAACGGTTAAAAGTAGATATTATTGATTTTTTTTTTTAATTATATCATCAAACGATGATATAAAAGTTCAGCACAAAGCGCAATCACCAATAATTATTTTTTTAGCAGCCACTAATAATTATTATAAAAATTATATAAAGCAGTGCATATCATCATTGTACGTCTTTTAGATATCGACGAAATATGCTAATTTCTGAAGGAAACGTGAAAAACATGTGAGAGAATTGAGAAATCTTTTGACTTGCCATTACCTAATCTTTTTTTTTTGACAAAGCCATTACCTAATCTTTTTTTTTTTGACAAAGCCATTACCTAATCTTCTTTATACAAAGCAGTAAAGAGCCAAACCGGAGGACCATTTTGGCTAAAGTAAAACACAGAAGACGTTGGACCATTTTTCGCAAGACGTGAACCGTCATGTGGAGAAGTCTATTTTCAAATGCGTCTTTTGATAAAAGTAAAATAAAGTAAAATACTTTCAAGCTTCTTGTAACGGCTAATTATTTCAAATTTTGTTGAGTTACTTTGAGTTTCTCTTTATAAACGTTGTTACAAAATTTTATTAAATATGTAGGATATTTGTATACTTTTTTTTTATTATGTAAAGAGTATTTTTCATAGGTTGGTGTAGTCTGGAACGCGTTGGTAATAGACCTATCGTCAACAAAATACTACTACCAAGTAGTATCAAACTTAAGTCTTAACATGATATTTTTAATTAATTAAGTCTGTAGTCTTTCATTCTGATTTCCATGTGACGAAAGAGTCAATTTTGGCTTTAGGGAATCTTTTTCATAATAAATTTTATAATTTCTCGTGACTTCTTCTTACGGAAGATAGTTTAATTATTAGTATGAAGATAAATGAATGTGAAAAAAAACATTGATTATCGTTTTATCTGAGAAAAATTACAAAGACTGGAACAAATATGATTATGATACATCAAAATCATGGATTGTTTTGAGGAAAAATTGAAATTTCTCGTAAATAGGTATAAATAATTTTAGAGTATCTGCATTCATAATTTCTCATAAATTCTCAACAAAGAATAAATAATAATATTATATAATTCATTTTTTATCATTTTTAAAAGACTTCTTGATAAATTAATGGATAAAGATGGTCCTAGCATATAAAAAACACGTCATATGGCCCTGTCCGATGCTTATCCAATTTTTTTTTGCGCTGCTAAATGTCAGTTCGAATCCGATTGTGATTAAAATTGTTAAAGGGTATTGTTGTAAAACGACAGCGTATGCAGTCTGTAAGCACCATTTCTACGGCATTTTAAACGGTGTATGTATTACACGTTAGTGTCCTCTACACGGCAACTAGTATTTCAGTGTTATTATTTGAACCTATTTTCTACGAATATTAATAATAATGATAATTTGTTTCGAAACTTTTTACAAAAAATGATCTTAGAAAAAGAGTTCAAGTGCCTTAGAGGATTCAGACATCTTAGGTATATATAAAACAGGAAAGCGAACCAGAAGACGTTAAGAATCTCTTCCTCTTTTTGTGAACAACAGAATTCAACAATCCTTCTTTCTCTGAATCTTCAATAACTTCTTTCTTCAAAACCTCTTTGAACCACATTGCCGACATTTTTGGATAACGTTTTAGACCGTTGTTGTAGTCTACATAGAATAGCCCGTAACGAACTCCATAACCAGCGTTCCATTCGCAATTGTCCGGCAATGACCATGCATAGTATCCTTCTACTTGAACATCATCCTCCCTAAATTTATAATCGGTAGTAAGAATTTAGCAATTTAAGCTTCATGCATGTGTTTCTTGATTGTCAAGTAACTAGTTAAGGGAGAATAGAGACTTACTTGATAGCTTGGTGGATGCTTTGATGTTTTTTGTGGTACTCTTTCCTCTGAAGATCCATCAGATTCGAGAGTTTTGCCTTTTTTTCATAGTCTATATCGCAATGCCCTAAATCATATTGATACGATTTAATATTCAAAATGGTGAAAAGAAAAACTTTGAAATAATTATACATGCTAAAGATAATTTTTTTTTTTTTTTTACCATTTTCAGTTATCATAAATTTAGGGTTTCCGTATTTGTTTTTGGCGTGGTTTAGAAACTTTCTTAATCCTTGTGGATATAAAAAGTCCCACTCTGAACCACCTCTAGGACCCAAAGTTTGTCCTGCTTTGTTTTGTTCTGTTACATAAATAAAACCATAATAAACTTGTGAGCCAAGAAACCAAAAAGTAAAAACCTTAGACAATATGTATGAAACAGTTACTTACTTTTCCATTCGATGCGTGCGTTGGATCTCCAATTGGGAATAGTAGGATCCACGTCAACAACGTTTTTAACGTAGAAGGCACTGTAATAATTCACTGCTACGAAGTCAAAAGATCCTTTTAACTTCTTAGATTGAGCTGCAGTAAACGACGGTAATCTTTTTCCAATTAATCTTTTCATGACTTCTGGATAATTTCCATAGACCGTTGGATCCATATGCCTGTTTCAAAATGACAACTCCCGAATATATTATTAGCCACCGCAATGATAACATAGTTGTGTATAAAATTTCAGTACGATCGATCACTCACTGGTAGGACTGCGAAAATCCAGATTAAAAATCACGAATATAAAACGATTGAAATCTATATAAATAATAATATAATATAAACAGATTGAATAAAACGATTATGAAAAGAGACGAATACACGGAGTCGAGATATGATATCTTTCCTTAATTCTTTAAATCTCATGCATTGTGGCGGTTTGATGAGATTCAGAATCCCAAGATACAACCGTGTTGAGACTAAAGTCGCAGCACCCGACTATAGAATCTGCAAACTTAGAATCTACGCTATACTCTCGAGACTTACCTAAGACTGTAGAGACGAGAGGGATTTGCTAGATATTTGTGTTTGAAACTTTTATGGATGAAGAATAATAAATGAGAGAGGTCCTTATTTATAGTGGAAGAGAGGCTTGTGGCGCAAGGCATTTGCTTTTTTACTCACGCAAGATAAACTGAAATATTCTGAATATCTTTGTTCCTTGTTCAACAAGTTTAAGGAAAAACGGAAATATCCCGAAAACCTTTATACCTTGTTTGACAGAGGAAACAGAAATATTCCAAAAATCTTTATTCCTTATTTGACAAGGATAAGAGAAATAGAAATATTTCGTAAGAAATAGAAATATGCCTTGTGACGCAAGACATTTGCTTTTTTACTCACGCAAGA